ATTTAGTATTCATGTCATGGATTCAGTATTGATCTAGTATTCATATCATGAATTTAGTATTGATTTAGTATTCATGTCATGGATTTAGTATTGATCTAGTACTCATGTCATGGATTTAGTATTGGTTTAGTATTCATGTCATGGATTTAGTATTGATCTCGTATTCATGTCATGGATTTAGTATTGGTTTAGTATTCATGTCATGGATTTAGTATTGATCTCGTATTCATGTCATGGATTTAGTATTGATTTAGTATTCATGTCATGGATCTGGGCAAATCTGGGTTTAGGGCCAAAAACAATTAGCTTTATTCAGGGTCAAACTCTAATTAGTGCCAAGGCACCTCATGGGGGGTACCCTTGACGAGTTGATTTGGGATTGATTTTGGATAATTTTGAATAAAGGTTTTGAATAGAAAAGAGCAACCATTATTTTTGAAAATTTGAAGTTATCAAGGTAAGATCTAATGAGCTGGCAATATGAATTAGTACATGAAAGCCACCTCAAATAAAGCATGGAAAAAAAATTGTTCAGCCCCATCTGGGCAAATCTGGGTTTAGGGCCAAAAAAAATTAGCTTTATTTAGGGGGCATTTATTATTTATTTTGGGAACATTTAGCTTTATTCAGGGGGCATTGACAAATCATAGGTGAACATTACTTCAGTATTCACACAAAAAAAGGTAATTTGATACTGAAAAATGGCACCAACCCATGTTTCGACGGGGATTTTCACGGTGGGTTCTGGCCACTGGTCCGTTGATGTGGTTTGTGGGGTTTGTTTCGGGAGAATATCCAATATATGATAACATAAGATGGCCATAATATTTGTTGATTACTACAACCTCAATGTTTGTAGCTTAGTTTGGCAGAATTTGTTTCCCTGATTCATTGAAAATCCTTATGAGCTACTCTATTTGTGTTGCTTAAAACCAGTGTTTTCCTTCCAAAGCCCTATCATTGTTGTTAGTCTAGAAACGAACAACATGCTGCGTTCACAAAAAATGAACATCCATTCAAACCTCTGTGTGTGTGTGGAAAGCCCTGAATCAAAGGGTATCAGCAGGGGACCAGGAACCCATGACTGTCTGTCCTGGCCAACGAAGACCAAAACGTACCTGCGAATTTCTAATTTCGGACATGGCCAGGTGGCTAAGCCATAAACCACCCACGCCGGCATGACATGATGACATAACAAAACATAACATAACATGATTTCATCTCATTTCATCCTCTCCCTTCGGGGTGTATTCAAGTGTGTCTTTCATGCACCCGGATCTCTGATAAAGTGCCGGGGAAGCTTGGTGGTGCGTCCACGGGGGATACCAGGTTACTTTCAGAACTTCCCAGACATCATGTTGCCAGAAGCGGATTCCGCACAAGCATCCAGACGTTGCTGATCAGAATTCTCGAGCAGAAGCAGAGTTTTTCAGAAACAGTATGCAGATTTGATCCCCAGATTTCAACGTGTCATCCATGATTCATGTTCACCTATATAACAATCATGTCACAAACAAAAACTGAGAGAAACAGCACCATGCCGTTACCAGCCTTTTTTGTCGGTCGTTGGTTGCTTGCTGAGCAGCCGGAAATTCTGATGCAGTGGTTTGCTTTTGTCAGCCTTCTTCAGTGGAAATTGCGCTGAACGCCGTGAAACTTCCTTTGTACACAGAGATTTGAGCACCACGTTCCATGTCACAACCCAGCACTGAGCGAAACAGCACCTTGCCGTTACCAGCCTTGTTTGTCGGTCGTTGGTTGCTTGCCGACCAGCCGGAAACTCTGATGCAGTGGCTTGCTGTTATCGGCCCTTTTCCGCGTAACTTGCGCTGAGCGCCGTGAAATTTCGTTTGTGTTTTTGTTGGAGCAAGCAACGCAGCGTTTCTGACATTTGAGCACCATGTTCCATGTCACAACACAACACAACACCGTGGGAAACAGCACGCTGCATTGAGGACACTCTTTTTGGTTCAGCGGTTTGCTGTGTGTGGAAAGTGTGGAAAGCCCTCAATCAAAGGGTATCAGCAGGGGGCCAGGAACCCATGACTGTCTGTCCTGGCCAACGAAGACCAAAACGCACCTGCGAATTTCTAATTTCGGACATGGCCAGGTGGCTAAGCCATAAACCACCCACGCCGGCATGACATGATGACATAACAAAACATAACATAACATGATTTCATTTCATCTCATTTCATCCTCTCCCTTCGGGGTGTATCCAAGTGTGTGTTCCTTAAACCGCCCATGTTTGTCCAATTGTTTTCTATCCCAAAGCCCTTTAAAGATCGAAACTTGGAATTTATTGTTGGTAGCTCAAACTTCTCCTTTATCAATCATAAACCTTCGAAAAGCCATGTAAGATTCCAAGAACAAACCCTTCTCAGCCCTTACACCTGTATTTTTGGTGCTGAAACGCCGAGCTCCCGTCCTTGGTGGACGAGTATGGGGCGCGGCTGGTGGATGAGTTGGATTTCACCTTGGAGGTGCGGTGCTTCTTGGGGAGATCAACCAAGCAAATGGTTATTTTAATGGAAAAAATCTGGAAAAATGGGAAAATGATGGAACATAATGACATGATGGGAACATGAAGGATTTATGGAGAACACATATGGGAAAATGATGGGAAAATCGGGGAACATGTGGGTTTTTTCCATGATTCCCCCCCTGAATGTTCCGACCAAACCAAACATAGAAACTGTTTTAGGATTTATGGGAGTTGATTGGATTATATCAAATTTGAGTTGATTTACAGTAAGTGTTTAAAAAAATAAGATGAAAAAAACAAGTGGATTTAAGCCTGACCCTCAAGAACTGTTGGCGGTTGATGAGAGTCAATTTGAAACAAAGGGTGGCTTTGACATTCACAAAGTGGGCAATATTGAGGATGGATCTTAAAGGGTTTTAACCAAAAATGGTGGAATTGAGCCTCAAAAACATGTGATTTTTGTGGTGTTTCATTGATTTAACCACATGACTGTGGGCCTTGAAGCTTCAAACAATGGGTCTGAAAAATTGAGTAAACATCAAAAAAATGGGACTTGAATGGATTTGAAGAATCAACAAATAGATTTTAAGGGTTTCCAACCTTGATATTTCTTCAACCATTCGTTGGTGGTTCCAGGGCCCTTGTTTGGTTCCTCTTTCACGGATCCCTTTGGACTTGCATTTTGGGATGGTCCGTTTGATGTTTTTGCTACCCCTAAATCTTGGGTCGCCGTACCCGAGATTTTTTAGTGAAGTGTTGAATTGTTGATCTTCAAATCCCAATGTTTGAAGACCCGATATTTTTTAGTGAAGTGTTGAATTGTTGATCTTCAAATCCCAATGTTTGAAGATTAAGATCCCTTGAACATCTCATCCTTTTTGCTGGTTGATGTTTAAAAGAGTCACAAAATCTCTGAAACTGATTTATATAAATCCCAAAATTTCACAGTAATTTATAGTTTTCCCCAATTTTCAACACATCCCCAATGGATAATATGGATATCCCCAATTTTTACGGTAAAAAAAAACCTTGACACCTCCGCAGTTGCAACCCATGGCCGAAGGCACAGAGAGCTGAGACTTTCTGTCGCGCCGCTGACCAGTTGGTCCCTGACGCTGCGGTGACGGCCGCGCGGCCTGTGGGGACCTTAAGGGGTTTTGAGTGAGAACTCCTTAAGTGGGACATATTAATCGTACATGCATATAATGACAGTACAGTATATTATATGTAATAATATATATATATATATATATGTGATTCGATGATTTAGTATATTTACATTGTTACATATAATTACTGTAGTATTTGATAGTATGCATATATATATATAATAGTGTATATATATATACAGTTATTAGTAAATTTTGAATAGTATATACATATATATATAACAGGATTTGTGTAAAAGTGTGTAATATATATATTATTTGCATATTGTATAGCATACTATGATACATTGGACAACTTGAATGGTGAAGTTACTGTACACAATCAACATGGCAATAAATGATGGACTTATATCAGTATAGCAATACATTTAAACATTTATTGTACTAACAATGGCAAAACTTGGTGAATTCACCATGAAATATGGGTAATTGGTGAGGAGTAGTTTGGCCCACTATTTTAAAAAGGGCCACCGAAAAGGGAATATGTAGCCCTACAATGTTCACCGAAGCGTCAACCTAGCGGACCTAGCACAGATGTTTTAGGTGAGACATGTTGGACTAACGGATATCAATATCTGGCAATAAGTTGAAGATTTAGCTGCCAAATGCATGACTCAAACATGCGGCGGGATTTTGGTTTCAAACATTCGGATTTGACCAACACTTTTCTCGAAGACATAAGCCGGGCCAATCCATGTGTTGGCTAGGTTTACTCCTCTAGCCTCACTAAGTGAGGAAAACCTCTTCTATTTGATGTCTTTAGAATCTTTAGACTGTTTTGTGTTTGCTCGGCTATGGCCCGAGGCGACAAAAAAAACACAAGTGATTTGGGACATACACTATCCAGCTATCATCAGCTATCCATATATGGGGATGGATCAGAACCATGTCATATTTAGGGGGTAAGAGCATCCCAGGGGTTCACCATGGTGGTTTCGACCATGGCTCCTTTGAGGTGCTTGAGCTGACGACCAGCTCAGTCCTGGCTTGGGGCTCTCAGAGATCCAGGAGGGGTTTTCAGCAACAAAGTTAGATACGTTGCTTTGCTTAAGGGCTACCCATAGTAGATCCAAGATGTGGGGTATCTGAAGGTATTTATTTGGTTTGTTGCTCAATACCTCTAGATTCTAGATCTGTTGCAATGCTTGACACCTCCTGTTGCATGTTTGTATAACAGCTTATATAACCTCATCATTGCTGGTTGCTAAGCTTAGCCCCATTATGACTGCTGATATCATCATGAATATCCTGCTAATTTTCAGCAGTTACGCTGCTCGGATCACCCATGGCCCATCCAACTACTGGTTCACTCCTCCATTTCCACCGCCCACCTGACACCGGCTTAGGTCACCGAGTGGGTGTGTGGGGAGCGCTTGGAATTGACTGCGGCGCGAGACCTTGAAGAGGCATCCGGGCAGTATGCGAAAAGATCTGGCCCATATATCAGAATCGGCGGCCCCATCTCTTCAGTTTGAGCCTCCACAGACAGAGCCAGAGCCTGCTTTCAACTTTACCCGAATTGCTGATTGAATACTATATAGTGAACCAGTTACTTGTTTTTTGGGGGGACCCAGGCCGTCACTTTACATGCAAGACTTGGTTTGTTGCCCCAGCAATTTGGTACATATACTAAACTTGTACAAAGAAATTGTGGGTACTTGGGCTTTGATGGTCAAGGTAGGTCAAGATTCAGAGCCTTCCAGCCCACAGAAAGGTATAGCAATCCAAAACACAGCAGATATCAATGGACCCAGTCGTATACCTATAAAGGACCAGAATCCACAGCAGAAAAAGCCATCGGGACATTGCAAAAGGAGTGTTTTTTTTAATGTGTTTTTTTTTTTTGCAGCAGGTTTTGTTTTTTTTGGGGGTGTTCCTGGTTCTCTGCTTTTCTGCTTCTTTGCATTTCTTCTTTTCTGCTTCTTTGCTTTTCTGCTTCTTTGCTTTTCTGCTTTTCTGCTTCTCCGCTTCTCTGCTTTTCTGCTTTTCTGCTTTTTGCTTTTCCTGCTTCACTGATTTTCTGCGTTTTCTTCTTCTCTTCTTTTCTGCTTTTTGCTTTTCCTGCTTCTCTGCTTTTCTGCTTCTCTGCTTTCATTGCTTCTTTGCTTTTCCTCTGCTTTTCTGCTTATTTTCTTTGCTTTTCTGCTTCTTTGTTTCCCCTGCTTCTCTGCTTTCGTGCTTCTGTGCCTTTCTACTTCTACTATTCTACTGTTTCTTTTCTTCAGTCATGTGTTTTTGCTGCTCTACCTCCTGCTCCTTTGCTTCTTTGCTTCCTGTCTTTACTGTCTCTTTGCTTTTCATTTTTGTTTGCTTTATTCTTTCCTGTTTGTATCCCCTAGAGAGACCCTAGGTGAAACCCAAAGAAACCCTAAAGAAATCCTGATAAGAAACCCTACATGAAACCCCTAAAGAAACTTTAAATGACACCCTGAATGACATCCCCAAGAAACCCTAAACGACACTCTGGAAATCCTCATGTATATCCCCACCGGGTCGGCTCGCGGGCAGTCCCCCCGTCCGCGAGGCACAACGGCTGCAAGCTGTGGCCATGACCAGTTATTTGGTCCGAGAGCCAAGAGCGGCTGGGACCGTCCCCAAAGTTGTACTGGTAGTGAGACCCTGTTAAAAACATGTAAAAACCATCCAATGCCTTCAGGTATCAATGATGCACTTGCCATCACTTGCCTACCAAGGCCATGCTTCTGGAGACTGGATCACTCCATGCAGTTGGGGGTCCCGAAGTCGTCCAAAAATTGCCTATTTCGATGCCAAAATTTTCGATTTGAGTTGATGTGGGTTTTAACCCGTTCTAAGTGGATTGTATTGGGATATACCCGAGTTATCCACAGTACAAATTAATCACTAATCGTTTAGCTGAGTAAAGATGGAGCGTTTTGCGGGTTTAAGAGGTACCTCTACAATATTTGGTACAGATCCACTGTTGATTCTGGTGATTCTGGTGGTTGTGTCCCCAACCCTGGTTGGTGGTTTGGAACACTTGTTATTTTTCCATATATTGGGAATAATAATCCCAACTGACGAACTCATATGTTTCAGAGGGGTAGGGCTCAACCACCAACCAGATCCACAGTTGGATCAGTTCCTCTGGAAATCGAGGAATTGGGGCATGGGTCGTCTCATCCAGCGGGCAATTCCCCAGTGGAGCTATCCCATGTACGACTAGTATCATAAGCTACTATTGTAAAATCCTATCACCATGCTTGCCCACCAGATATGCCCGTTATTGAAGGTTTTAAACATATTTTAATGTTGTGATATTGACAATAAATAAAGATACAGTTTTTGTTGCTACTTGTTTAGTTGTCCACACCCCTTTCCATGGTTCACCACTTCGGCTTGGATGATGCTCCACTGGACACGACAGTCTAAGGACCCACATTGGGGAAACCTTCTGCGGCGAGAGGATACGCCCCGGGTTGGGATGGACTTGGAGAGGCCTAGACCTGGAAGCAACACCATTTTAATGCTGGTAAAGGGAAACCATGGGAAAAATTGCATGTTCCTGAGTTGGCAACTGTGGATAATTTGCCCAGATCAGATGCCGGCCATGGATAGAGCCTGAGGCGAAGTGGAGGTTTTATGGCCGGGGGTGTGATGATTTGATAACTTGATGTGTTTTGTGCATGGAGTTGCGGCTCAAAAAGCTGAAGGATCCGGGCGATCCGCGATTCCAAGTCAAGCGAAGATGGAAAGAGGGATCTTGGGATTGTACCCTTCAATGTAGCACACATCACTGATGCAAGAATGCAGATGAGAAACGCGCAACTGATCAACGATTTGACGAGTCTTCACCATTTTCTTGTACAACTAGGACATGATGGTTGATGGAGTTTGTGCTACTATTCTTAATCCCCATAGGTCCATATCAAAGCAGGAACAAACCCAAAGAACTCACCTCAGAAGTTGCCCATGGGCTGCGCCGTGGGGTCCGAAGAAGCGCCCATGACGAGTGTTCAGCAGCTGTTGCCCAAGAGAGGTGTGCGTTGTGCTGGGAATTGGATGAAGGGATTCAGTACACAGGGTTTTAGGGAGATATTTTACATTAGGTGGAAGGGATTATCTGGCCTCAGTTGACCAATGAAAATTGCTAAAAGTAAATCAACGACAATATATATATAAATAATATTATATAATTACAAAAGTATCTGAGTTACGGGTTACAAAACACATGTTGATGGATGAATTTTCGGTTTAGTTACGGTATGCGAACTACATTTGCTCCCTGCCTCCAGGGCTCCGCGTGGGTCTCTTTGGAAGCACCCAGTTCCATGGCGCCGAGTCGCAAGACTTCTGTCAGGCAGGGAACAAGGTTCTTTTAGGATGCTTAGTAATGGTGATGAGTAATGATGGTTAGTAATGATGATTTAGGAAGATGCTTAGTGTCATGGTTTAGTAACCTTTAGGAATAATGGTGATCAGTGGTTGAATAATGGTTAATGAGAATCAATAATGGAATGATGGCTAACTGGATGGTTCGAAGATGTTAGAAGCAAACCAACTACAATACAGTACAAAGAACCAAACATAGTAGTACTAATGATACTTATATAAAACACATGACACACATGAAAACTCGTTAAAGGGTGTGGAGGGTGAAATGACTGATATGACCTGCCGAATGGTAGCCAGCTGACGTTCATCCGGATCCGGGCGTTTGGTTTTTCCCCACTCCTGAACTAAAATAACTCAAGTGGTTTGGATCACTGGCGGTTTCTCTTGGTGGATGTTTGTTTGGGCCTTATCGATCACGGCACTGGGAAGAGGTGGCCTTGGACATCTCATATCAAAAGCTATTCTTTGCATCGCTGGATGCCCATCCCCCATGATCATCCATGTTTTATCCATTTTACAGCTTTTGAAGTTTCATGAAGTTTGAATAAATTGCATAGGGAATGTAGGATTTATAGTGATTTATAATTACAGTATATGTTTATATATGGATTTATAAAGATTCGCGATAAGTTATGGAACTGTTGGATTTCCACGGTTTATACCGTCGTTTGTTGCGGGGTTTGCCCACCCGTTCCTGCTGGATCCCCGTTTGTTCAAAGCGCCAAAAACGGAGCTCCGGACCTCTGGAGGTGCTGGGCACGAAGTTGGCCCAGCACTGCGGCCGGGAGGTGGGTTTGGTTGGGAACATGGTGCTTCATAGTGGATTCAATGGTTAACTTTGGTGAATAATGGTGAATCAATGGGATATTAATGATGAATAGTGGTGAATCAATGGGATATTAATGATGAATAGTGGTGAATCAATGGGATATTAATGGTTAATACTCTGGTTGGTGGTTTGGAACATGACTGGATGATTTTCCCATATATTGGGAATATTTGGGAATAATCATCCCAACTGGCTAATATTATTGGATCTGATTGGTAGTGTTTTGGAACATATGGGTGTGTCTGAAAATGTTGTGTACCCCTTTTTAGCCAATGGTTTTGCTGATCATTATCCCTAAATGGCTATTTCATTGGGAATATACCCTATTTTCAGACAAACCCATATATTGGGAACAATAGTCCCAACTGACTAATATTTTTAGAGCGGTAGGTATACCAGCAACCAGCAGTTGATGAATCACCATTAATAATACTTGAATAAATCCATGGTAGTTCATCATAGTTTATACCACTAATAGTTGTAATAGGGATTTATAGTGGTTTATAGTGGTTGCTAATAGTGCATAGTTATAAAACATAATAATACTTATACCACTATGGTAAGTTTAATAGTGGTTTATAGTGGTTGCTATTGGTTCATAGTGGTCACTTAGGAATGTTGTCAATCATGGTTAATGATCAAAGCTGGCTGACTGGGAACTCCCTAAAATAAATGGACAAACGGGAAAGCATCAATGGTAAGAGTTTGTGGCTCTCCATGGGATATGTAATATGGAATAATAGTGATTATATAATAGTGGCTAATAATGTGGTGAATAAGAACTAATAATGGATAATCATGAATGATAATGGTCACCCTCTGGTAATCAAACATGGCTAGCCGGAAAATCCCCTATAGATGTAGGTTTCAATAGGAACATCAAGTATAAATGGATATTTTTTTAGCAAACGATGTTTGATTACCTTTGGGTAAGCATCAGAAAATGGTGAACAGTTGGGATTCAAGCATCAAATATGTTGCCATGGCAATTGAGTGATGAAACTTATATGGAACATGATGGTAAACCATGATGATAAACCATGATGATAAAAGTCTATTAATATGGCAACTGAATGACGATAAACCGGCCTTGGGATTGAGGAACAAGCATATGTTTCAGGCAAACCCAACAAGATCAAGGATCTGTTTGGGTATGTTCTCAATGTTTCATATTCCATGAAAGAAAGAACTTCTCTTCACGTGGTTGGGTGCCTAGGGACCTGGGGAACATGATGGAACATCAATATCCAGCAATACAACTGGTGTGTCCCATTGTTTTCTATTTCCTTGTATTTTGTTTGTCATGTGAATGTTGAATCTGTTCATATTGCCAACCTAACTAATTACTCAGGATCTACTCAGGATCTACATACATTTACCAGACCATCCATTCATGTGTTAGTAAGCCCTTGGTGAATTGGATGAATTGCTAAATTCCCATCAAAAACCGCACCCAAAAAAACAACAACATAATTATGAAATTATGATAGATCAATTATAGATAACACTTCAATATAATAGATGTATCTATTAAGTTGCATGAAGGTTCTCACCTGTGGGTCCTCACTTATTATTGGTGACATTTGTTGCATAAAGTTTCCCTTACACATAGAGGACCTCACCTGTGCGCGGCAGGTGGTCCTGCTGACGGGCGCCAACGCGGTGGTGCATGAAGTGGTGGCCAGAAGTTTCTGGGAGGTCCGCGATTCATGGCCCGGGATGGCAACAAAAATCGACTCGTGGCCCGAGATTCTTTGGATGAAGATCCATAACTACAAGGTAACCACCAGGTAACTACCAGCTTTTTTGGTGGTGAACAGAGGGCTACTAGGGTTAGACAAATCGAGTTTTTGGATGTTTTGCCTGCGAAAAAAGTGAATGTGTTGTGATGTTCTTTGGTCATCTTGGCGTTGTACAGATGTACAGACCAAATCCAATTTTGCGAACAGTAAACTACATTGTGGTTTGTTTCTTTGCATGTGTCCTGCAGGGTACACAACTTGAATCAAACTATAGCCATTCTCGTATCTCCATCGGGACGCTTGTCCTCTTAGCGGTTGCTTCAACCCAGCTGAGATGGTGTAATAGGTGGCATTCAGTAATAAATGTCTATTGTTTTCTACAAGGTGGTGCGTCATAGTTAGCCAAATTGATTATATAGTAATACTGTACTGATGATAATGATAACGGTAATAATATTAACGACAATAATTAACAGTAATACATGTACATATATATACGCGTATATATATATATATATATTATGTTTAAATATGAGTAACCGATAAAATTGGCCGAAGACTAAAGTAGTGGGGAGTGGACATGGGATGTTCAAATTTTTGCGAAAACCTTCACAACCGATAGGGGATCACCCACTTTGGCCATGTCCATTGCGCATAGTAAGTAATTTTGTCCGCGCCACTATATATATATACACATAATATTATATATATACACATATTATATATATAATATTATATATACATATACATATCATATCCATAGTTAGTTAACAGTTAATGGGTTTTCGAAGCCAAGAAACTGGGCACCAGATTCGATGTTCCCTTCCACGCCATCCAGGCCATGAATCGCGAGGCGGAGGTCTTCCACTTGGCACCCAGGCCCATGGCTCTTCCGGTGGCAGGGTGGCGATGGGGCACAGGTGGAAAAACCTCCCGTCAGTAAAACCTGATGCAGATTTTCATGAAACAAATCGGGATTATATATTCAGTTTAACAGACCGGGGATGAACTTCCCCCAATTTTGAATAAGGTTGTGAGGAAAACGAGGGGATAAAAACAATGTTTCCTCTACCACAAAGCCGATGGAGCTGGATTTCGCTTGTCCGTTGCGGAGGAACTTCAAGTGCAAGTTCGACTTTGGAAAGGCGGCAGATCCCATGGGCAATGAACTGGCCATGATTGGTAATATAGAGTAGAATATTGTAGGCGGTTTAAGCACAATGATGACCACCTGGTGATGAGGTGTTCCAGGACGTAAATACTCACTAAGGCTACTAAAATCATCTGAAAACCATCGAGCAACCATCATGTTTGTTGTCTACCACCTATATGGCTGCTGAAAATCCTCACTGGCATGCTGGTCCAAGACAGTACATGATTTTTCAGGAAGATGATCCCTTGCGACTCCTTTGAATTAATCCATTGATATCCAAATTGTTTTTGTTTTGTTGATTTAGAGTGATAGAATCCACTGTGGCAGTATCCCCAAGCGTTTCACCAAGATTTCGGCCATTGGTTCCCTCACCTGGAGGTGCTGGTTGCAGGGAGCGACAATTTGGAACGCCGGAAGATTCTGGCAGAGACGTCGCAGGCGGGGTCACACCCAAGAGGTCGTCAATTTATGATGGCCAATAAGGGGCAAGTCACAAAACCTGATAATTAGAACCAGCAATTTGTTGATGTGGATGTGGGTTTGTTTGAAGATAAAAAGGAGCTGTACCCCACTATCCCCCATTTCATCCATGATTCAAAACCTCTTTTTCCAAAACAAAATCAACATAACTCAGCATATTCAGCATCCACCATTCTGTGGGACAACCCCAGATTGCTTCGAATTCATAAAATCCATATAAATCCATGTAAATCCATATAAATCCATATAAATCCATATAAATCCATATAAATCCATATAAATCCATGGAGTACCCATAAGACCCAGATTTCACGGCTTAGCGGCTTAGCATGTTCTCAGATCCCAGGGTCCCGCAGTTTTTCGATCCCCAGGTGGCCATTTCGGTCGAAGGTGGTCCAGGTACCGCGGATGAGTCGCTGGGCGAAAACGTTCGTCAAAAGTGGGCTTTTTCCCATGGGTTTTTCATGGAAAATCATGGTTTTTATGTTTCCATTAACCGGAAACCATGGGAAAATATGGGGGACGACCGGAAACCATGGTTTTTCCATGTTTTTCCCCATGAAATTATGGGGGTTCCTATATGAAGAAAGTCCTTAAAAACCAATCCAATGATGTGTGGATCATGGATGTCCTAAATTCCCACAGAGAATATGAAGGGAGCAAAGGACAGATCTTTTTGAGCCAAAGAACTACAATCAGAATTTCCCAACCACATGACGGTTAATGATACTAAGTGTACCATATGCACTATGTACAGTGCTGGTATAAACCATTGAGTGTACAACCATTTTACCCAGAATTGATGGTTTGTCATTGGCCTGATTATTGGGTTTACCTCATGGTATACAATAACCAATGGGGAAACGGATGTTCCTTCAGATATATAGTATACAATTATAATTATATATATATATTTATATACATATATACATATACATATATATATATATATAATTATATATATATATGCAGTTGTGTTTTTTACAGAAGCATGTGTGCCCTGCTCGAAAGTTGCCATCCTCATATTGCTGGACGGGGATGGTCACCTGCGCCGAAGAAAGAGTGCCCAGGATTCGCCTCGCTCGGGCCGCTGGGGTGCCGGTGCTGATGGTCGCACGGACGGGAGGTGCTTCGCAAAGTGAATACGATGCTTGACGGGATCCATGGGAAATACCACATTTATAGATGTTTTTCCCAGCAAAGCTCCATGTCTGCAGGACATGTCTACCTGCTATGGGAAAAAAACAACGTGGCTATATAGAATATATTTTATCATTGATGATTTTCCCAGCTATAAACGTCCATTTATACGGGATTTTCACTTGCCATGTTTGATTGCCGAAGGGTAATGCTATAGACCCAAAAACCTATGGCATCACATGGCTGGATGGTTTGGAAATGCTGACCAGGAGAATCTCCAGCTGCGGTGTCACCAAGCGTAAAGGTTTGAGATGGTTAACCGTTATCTTATCATTGATTTTCACATGTTCCTGATCATACGCAGGGACGCTTTTTTTGGACTGGTTCCTTTTAACAGACGAGGTTTCAACTGCACTACAGATAAAAAATTGGATGCCAAAATAAAACAGGTGTTTTGTTACTTTTGTATCTTTTGTTCATTGTTTTTTTCTACTGCTGTTTACAGATGTTGCCACAGCTGGGAACGCCCCTCCAAATCCTGGGATTTGGATGGATGGGATCAAGGAAGCGGCTCCCAAGCCATCACAAGCAAGCGATGCGCAGTGGAAGCCACCAGGATGCAGTAACCAACGGGATACCCATTTACCAAGCAATAAAATATATACATGGATGATCATGGATGTGTAGGTTCTACCACTGATATTGTCTTACATATGATGGTATGATGTGTATGATTGGCATATATATATATAATATTGTTTCGCGGGAGCATTTGGTTTGGTTTTTGTTCGCATATCGGCCCAAAATTGGGATCCCTAAAAGCTCTTGAAGTGGCTGTTGATAGGTCACTCAGAGTGACCTATCATCCCATCCATCTCACCGCTTTCTCGTTACAGTAAATATGCCTGTCCACTTAACCCACCACTTGGGTTACTTGGGTTTCCCTTTTCTTTTTCACTGGTTTCCAGTTTCCATCAGAAAATCATAGAAAATCCATGAGTTTTCCCATTTTCCCATGGGTTATCCCCAATGGTGCCCTCCAGGCTGCTGGCTGACAGCTCAGTCAGTGTCGAAGACACTGCCACCGCGGTGGCGGAGATTGTGGTGTCGATGATGTGAAAGCGCTGTTCTGAAAAAGGGCCAGGTGAGAATCCCTAAGCTGGTTGAGCTAAGATTAAGTCACCTAGGATCTACCAAAGTCATGGCAATGGAAACCCGACCCCATCCCCTGTCAAAATAGCAACTGCATTCAGCGCTTCGCCGGTTTGCAGCTGTTGTCCGGTTCGCTTTGAAGGCGTGTTGAAATGGAACAGTTCAGAAAGGGGAAGCAACTACTGGTAAGAAGCAATTTCTGGGGATAGCTCTTGGAATATCTTGGAATGGTCTTTCAGTTTCAAAGTTTGAGGTACCAAATATGTTACAGTATGTTCAGAGCTGGAGTAAAGTAGCGTGGGTCCTGTTCAAGCATAGTCCCCACCGACAAATCATGAAAGTGTGGAGCACTTTGACCGCGCCTCGCACAGTAATTTTCTCAAGGTAGACTTGACATGTAAAAGATTGCCGGAACATTTCTACCGAACCGTCTATTCTGTAAGAAAACATGGCAAGAACATATATGAACATGTATCATGTGTCATCATGTATCATGTATCATCATGCATGTACACGGACCAAAACTCAATAAAACTCATCCTGATCCACTCTGCACCGAAGAATCATCCATCCAAATTGTACATAAATTGACATAAATCATCCATCAAACCCACGATTCCTATGACTTAAATTGACCCCTTGGCGCCGGGTCAGCCGGCTCCGTAGCTTGGTCATAATTCCGTGTCCCGATTCTCCAAAGGGTCGCGAAAGGGCGCGAAAGGGTCGCGAAAGGGCGGAGTAAGGGCAGTTTCGGGGAACCATAATTTTGAACAACCCGCATATTATAATAGATGTTGTTATATATATTTGTTTTTATCGTAGCGTATTGTGTTGTTTTGTTTTAAATACGATTGAATTTTAATTGTATGTTATTTAGTATCACCATTGTTTTTGACTAGAACCCGATTCTTGGTATGTTTCGGTTTGGCTCAAAATCATTGCCCCCAGATTATACCCAATAGGCCATACATGGCCATACCTAAATGGCCACGTCCTATTTCTCGTGCATCTCCATGCCGAGGTGGTGAGATGCACCATGAGCCTCCAGAGTCAGTTGGCAACTCAGGGTTTGTGCGGGAAAATGCGCATGGGATCTGTTTTAAGTGAATCTGTCTACGTATGGGTCAAAAGTAATCACCGTAAGATGCGCAGAGTTGGCCTTTTCTTAGAATGAGCATTCAAGCATCCATGTTCAGGGTATCTACATAATTATCAACAATATGTCCTGCGCCGAGGTAAAGGTGAAACTATAATTCTACGGATGACCCGTCCGTTTCAGGGTCAATTAATTATGATGCTTCCCGAGTTCAGATTGAATATCCGCCTTGCTGGTTACATCCTGCATGGACTTCGCAAGCTGCTTTGGGGGTGCTAAGCTTCCCATTTTTGGGTACAAAGGTGAAAGGTTAAGCACTCTAACCCTCCATGGGCCAAGGATCTGCGAACATATAGGTCTCATTTGGGTTCCAGGTACATGCATACATATTATGTATCTACACAAAGAGAGAGAGAGAGAATATCCAAATTCTCTTGCACATTCATGAACATATAATCATCATTAATCATCCATGTTATTTTCTGAATGTTTCATTAGAAGCCATCTAGCTATTGGGGTACCCCCCTTTCAGGAAAGCCCCATATGTACATGATCCCTAATATGAGTATATGATATAATATATATATAACATATATATATAATAATAATAACAATAATAATAATAATAATAAACATCTATAATATGATATAATTATGATATATAATATATAGATATGACATCTCTGCTGGAATGATGCGACTCGGAGTCGGCGCATCCTGCATCCTCCCAGGACTGGGAGAGGGCCGAGATCTCCTCGCTCCTGAAAGAAGTGCCCTTCACGACACGACACGGGGATTTCACGGTGAAATTCGAGTTGTTCAACATACATTGGTGAAAAATCCTGGTGCAATCCCTCCATGAATTGGATGCTGAACATCTCCATGAATTGGAATGATACCCTCTGGTAAACTAACATAGCTATGGAAAATCACCATTATTAATGGGAAAACTCACTATAAAATGGTCATGTTCAATAGCTATGTTAGTTTACCAGAGGGTAGCTACGGTATGGATGGCCCATTGATATCTAGTTAGATGATGTTGGATGATTTATGGGGATTTCTGGTGGAAAAACGGTGGTTTCATGGGGATTTCCATGGTCTGGGAATATACATAATATACCCTATCCATGGTCCATCGAAATAGATTATGAAAATATGATGATTTACCGAACTTGCACATGGAGATTGTCCATAAGTATGTTAAACTTACCACAAGGTTTTGGAGTTATAGAACCCAGCAATCCGGCATTTACTGGACCATTACTGGGGATATAATGGGATGATTGATGATGTGGTTTGAAACCTGTTTTGTTCATTTGATTTTTCATCCTATACCTGGGATGATGAGTCATATTGACGAGCATATTTGCCCGGGGGTTGAAAACCGCAAACCAGCTATGTACTTATATACCCAGTTAAGTAAGGGGATACAAGCTACCTACTCACCATGTAAATATGTAACTTGTTTCATAGCTAGTTGGATTTATGGTTGATATGTCATGATATATCTCTAGTTGGATGGTTGGATGGGTGAACATAAGTCAACAATTGAAAGGTCTTTACAACTGCGTTGGAATTGTTTGGGATCCATTGATTTCAGTTTCTTCGATTTTCTGAACATGTTTAGCATCATTTGAGGTCGGATTCTCCTTTGCGGTCCAGGTGGTAGCCCAATTTGTCATTTCCCTATTTCGACAACTCCTTAGTGAACGAATAGTAAACGAATTAGTTGGCTTTATCTTTAAGAGCCTCATTTTCCACATCATTTCATGGACGTAGATTTGTTGCAACATGTTTATGCCTTAGCCTTATATAATATATATATGGTACCCTCTGGTAAACTAACATAGCTATTGAAAATGGCCATTTATAGTGAGTTTTCCCATTAATAATGGTGATTTTCCATAGTTATGTAAACGTTTACCAGGCCGGGTAATTATATGGTCAAATCCTCATTGTTGTGGATGAAGATCCAATTTTTTGGGGCTGGAAATGGCCTCCTTAGCCTAAGCCACCGAATCCCAAAAAAATCCCGGAGGCTCAGACTCTTCGGTCACAAAAAGAGCAGCTGGAGGCCCAAATCGCGCAAGCCGAGGCCGGGAGAGGCTGCAGAGACCGGTAACCCAGCTGGGATAAGATGGCGAAAAATGATGAAAACATATGAAAAATCCTAGAAAAATGGATTTCTCCAGAAATGGGATGGACTTCTGGCAATGTTCATAATGATGAGTTATCAGTGGATGGAATGGGGTATCATGTTTTCAGACAACCCCATTACAATGGTGAATACCGAAATACCTTGAAATTCATTGCCCATTAAAAGAGATGGAAAATGATGGGAAACCATCAACTTCGGGGGTACCCTGTTTTCGCGCAAACCCAAACGTAGGACCACAAGTTATCATTCAATTGATTGGTGACTTTGGTTCTGGGGTGAACCTACCCGAAGTTTGAGAAACGCCCATAGGGTAGACAAATAGTGCTTGACCATGCTAAGAGTGCAGCATGATATATTGCAAATGAACTGAATGCTGCCAAGTGGGCAGCCTTTGCCACTTTGTAATATGCAAGACATGTGAAGATCCGAGGCTTGATTTCATGCCAGAGCCATTTAGCACTTTATATGTGAAACAGGCCTTCAAACTGGTTATATTCATCAAGTTGGGTAATTTTGACCTGTTTGATCATCCATTCTGCTGACCTGTGACCACTGTGACTGTCAGCTCCGGTACATCCTCCCTTTCTATGTGGAAATGTGGCTTTGAACATGGGGGTGCCTCATTCCATCCACTGGTGAATCATCATGCTCCCTATTCAAAGATGTTTTTGGGGTTTATAGACTGTCTTCGGAATATCATGTTGCTGATATATCCAAGGACATATTTCATATAAATTCTAGAGGCAACATTCCCATATTCAGAAAATCTTCGCATACCATGTTTTCATCGTACTCCAGACCTGGGTTTTGGTATGTTACTTTGATATGCATTTCAGCTCAATCTGGAGGGAACAGTTGGCGCACGGAGAATCCACTGAATGCCCCTCCACAGCTTTCTATCCCCTATGTCGTTCCAAAGCAGCTGTGGACGTTGAATGAATTGAAGGCTGCTTTGATAAGGAAGTTTCCTCATTTGTCTACCGAAGAAGGACAGGGTTGTCAAAGGTAACGTTTTTAAAGGTTGGCTGAGTAAAAATTAGCAAGTTTCTTCCCCGGGACCTCACCCAAGGTGAACTCGGAAAAATAGAACCCACTGGTGTGCCCCTGGAAGTTTGGGCTGGCTTTGGGATTGGAATTTTGGTTCTGGCCCCGAAATTTCCCTATGTGGTCTCTATACCAGCCACGCATACTCGGAATTCTTCGCATTCCACAAATTCTTCGCACTCCAGCGAGGGCATCGCACTCCACAGCTAGGGACGTACACATACTGTAAAATCCACGCACTCTGCAAGATCTTCGCACTCCATAAAATCTTCGTACTCGGTAATTTTCTCGTTTTTTCTGTTTTTTTTTCTTTTCGTTTTTGTTTTTTTGCTAAAATCGCCTGGAATCACGTTTTCTGGAATATGGGCAAGGTAGCGGTTTCGCGTGAGACGTCTGCAGTTTCACATACTATCGCATTCCAGGCCATTTTGGCCAAAAATGACCAAAAATTAAAAAAATAAAAATAAAAGCAGCTCAGCAGGGTGAAATGTGATAATTTTCTGGTATATGATGGAAAAAATTGGTGTTGGATCCATGCGGAAAGTCGAAGGGGGCCACGCATACTGTTTTATTTTCGCATTCCAGAAAATTAGCGCACTCCAGGGGTGGCATCGTACTCTATCGGTGGAATTACTTTGCACGGAAGAAAACAGGATCGTCGATGATTTGTGTTCCCAGATCCTGTTGTGCAGAGCTCTTTGCGGGGCCACAAAGATGTCAAGAAAGATGGGGATGGCGCTGCTGATGAAAGGCCAGCCAAGCGTGCCAGAACATAAGCTTAAAGCTTATGAATTGGGTTTTGAGATCCTGAAAAGTGTAGATGACAAATTCCCATAAGAACATTATTAATCCATTTTTGGAAAGCTCAACATTATTAATTATGACATTGCCAGAAATTGTTGAAAGTAAGGATCTTCTTTGGGGAAGAACATGTGCAGTCGACAACGTACGTGCCAGCAGAAAAGGAGTACTTGGTAAACTGTATGAAATACAAATTTCACCTGAAAGGGGTCTTCGCAATTCCCTAAATTTTCCCAGCTATTTTGGCATGGAATATGTTCGGCCCTGGAATATGGGCAAGAAATTGCTAGATAAATCATCAAAATCATCATATTAGTTGATGTTTAAATTATGTTAAATGGTGAAATCAGTTATAAATCCCCTACAAATCACCATATGTTGGCTTCTTTGGGTGTTCGGATTTCGAGTCTCTTTTCAGGATGCCAACGCCAGCCTCCAAAGTTGGGGCGCGTTGGGGCCTCAGTGGGAGACAGCGAGCCACGGCCGCGAGGACCTGTCATCCATAGGGCCATGGCTGAAGCCATGGCCCAATTTACTTCGATGTTTTACCGTATCGAAACTGGTGGTTTTCCATATCCCATGACGGATCCATGGTGCTGGTATATTAATGCTAACATGACTGGGGTATATTGATGGGATCCATGGCACACCAAATATAGCAGCACCATGGATCCTATGGGTATGTTTTTTTTATTAACAGAAGGTAAACCTTGGGTTGGTTGCTAAAAATGTCGATCTCGGATTCAAGAATTTATCGTGTGGATACAATCTCCAGAATAATGTACGTGCACATGGTTCTATATGTGTTTGAAGGGTTGAAGGGGTTTACCAGGGGATATCATCAACTATCAACCAGTTCATGGACACCCTCTCAAGCACATAGGGGATTTGACCAGTTGAAGGCTTTGGAGATTGAATACAAGCAACCCTTCGTGCAGATAGGAAAGTGAAATGAATCGGAATGAAGTCTATCATTCCAATCTACCATCTGGTTATTTAACATAGCCATGGAAAATGACCCATTTATAGATGGATTTACCCATTAAAAATGGTGATTTTCCATGGCTATGTTAGTTTACCAGAGGGTATCATTCCAATTCATGGAGGGATTGAACCAGGATTTTTCACCAATGTAAAACGCTGCGGATGCCCCCTGGATCCCCCTGGGACAGGTCCAGAGTGTCCACGGCTTTGGCGAACTCCATCAGTTTCTCAGAAAGACCCAGCCCTTTGAAGGCCCGGCAACGTCCTTTCTGAATGGATTAAACTGATGTGTACCGAAAGTGGATGAAGTTGGTATATAGTGATTACCAATGATTTCAACAGATATATATGTATATATATATAATATTATATATAATCTGTAATTATATACATGCATATGTGTATGTATGTTCTCTCAATGGGATCAACCCCAGTTTCCCAGAATTGGTTCGATTGAAAAAAAACTTCAACCAATTCACAGTTCGACATGGCCTTGCCCATTTTGCCAGCTGCAGGCTGAGGAAGCGGGGTGCTTAGTTGTGGGGTTGCAAGGAATGCCCCACAAAGCACAGATGGTACAGGAAAGCTGGATCATCATTAATGCGGTATATAAGTGTGATTGCTGTTTTATTTGTATATACATATATACATTGTTGTATGTGATGTTTATATCCTATCCATGACTATACATAACACGTGTATATATATATATATACATACATGTTCACATGTATTCAATTTTCTGTCATACGCCCAGAACAAGCAAGGGGATGCAGTCAGGACGATGTGGGATTCACCCGATGCCAACTCCATAAACCATCCCCGTTTTTTTTCACCAGACATGGATAGAAATGGTTGGTAAAAAAATGGTAAAAAGGTCAGATGCATCCCAAATGGTAGGTTATTTTTTGACCATGTTAGTTCAGTACCAACACCATGGTTATGTTTGACCCAGTCCTACTTAACCATCGGTTGACCAGGACCCCAAGCTGTGAATTGTGAAAGTCGAGGTTTTTGAGGACGAGGACCGCTCCGAGGCTCCCGAATGGTTGGGCAACGTACGTTTATCTCTCAAGCAGCTACGGTTGGTTTGAGTCAACTTAGGAAAGCAGTACATTATTTTGCTATCTGCTATCTATTGATTTTGGGTATTTTTTTCGGCCACAAAACCAAGTCCAAAAAACAGGACGTTTACACTGGGGTCACAGATTGTGAACCAGCAGTCCTGGGCATCTTGAGAGGGGTGCCAGATGATTAAAATGATATGAAGTTGCTCATTGATACAGTGTGTTCCTTTGAGCATGTGTTTTCTTATGTCCATACAAAGTGGGTTCGGCAGCGTTTTAGACCACGATCACATAATCAGCCCTGACCTAGAACTTTATCTGCGGTCTGAATTATGTTGTATTATAATGTTTCATACACTTTCCAGTCTTACTGTAGTGATCATTTATGATGTCGATCCCACACAGACACATAGGCGTGCATATACAATCATATACATATGCATCCAATATCAATATCAATATTATATATATATATATTATACACAATATTTACACATATAAATTGTATATGCATAATATCATTATATAATTATATATACATGATATGTATTGAATTGTACTGTTGTTCAGTATCATGAAAGCCAGCCTCAGTGCCAACCGAGCAGGTGCTGTTTGCCTCGCAGCAAACGTTGCAGATGGATCTGGAGATCTTGCGCGGCCGGTTGGCGGAGGCTGAGGCAACTGCCGTACCTTTTACCCGTCAAAGATGGGACGTGTTGAATAGTTCTGACTAATAAAAATGGTAAGTTTTAAATGTGGATATGCGGAGATATAGTGGAATAGAATGGAATATGAATCAGTGATTGAAGATGGAAGCATAAAATTGATCATTTGGAATATGATCATCAAGTATATAATGGAATATGAATCAGTGTTCCATGATTGCTCTGTTCATCAAGTCCACCCAGGCCGGTCGCATCAGGGGGCACGAGGAGACCCTGGCGTTCCAAGTGCAGGAGGATCAGGCCGCGATGTAAACCCCGGTGATGGGAGCCGGGTCGGAATCGCTAAGTTGGTTGAACTAAATAGGCTAAGTTAACATGATCTATGGATATCTATGGTAGGTGTAACATGATATGAATATAGCATAATATAGCATAATATAGCTATAGTTGATGGGGGGTATAAACTGACAAACGTAACGAGGAGGGCCACCTTGTAGGTGTAGTTTCGAAAAGTGAGGGTCTTACCATCAAAGACTTGGGAATTTCACCATGAAAATTCGAGAAGTATTGGTAGAGCGTATTTCAATATGTGTTTATTGTTTGCAATATATATATATATATATACATAGTTATATATACACATGTAATTATATTGTTTCAGGGGATCTAAACTTGTCTACGTTTTGAGTGATTCATTCATTATATTTATATATTTTATATATTTATTGTATTTTATTGTGTATGCTACAAAGTTGGACTTTTCCAGCTAATATGATCACTTTTGTGGGGTGAATATCAAAGATTAATGAGATAAGTTGTATATATAGATCCTCCAGGGGTTCTATCAAAGCGGTGATGGATTTTGACAACGATGAGGGCCTCAACTGCCTCAGCATTGATGGATGGTTCGGTTACTGGGCCCCCGAGTTAACTCATTTCCGATCTGGGGTATGGGCCCCGGCTTCAGAAATAAGGTACACTGGGCTATAACTGAAATAACTAACGCATTCACTGAAATGTACAGTGGAACTATATATTTGTGTTGCTTGTGGAGGTCACCGAAATATGGATTCAAAAAATGGGGACCACAGTGAGTTTGCTTTCAGTAAATGAACAATATTAGTACCGGTACCGTAGATACCCGAAGGCAAGTGATCTACATTCATGGTGGATTTTCCAAATCAACTTATGTTGAATTGCTAATTGCTGAAAGTCAATTAATATAGACCAGAACTTATACTCAGGTCATTTAACAAAAAGCCCGACATGTATATATATGTATCTATATTGGCTAATTTATATTCAAGACATGGCGGTCTGTGTGTCAGCACCAGGCCAAAGAACTTGCCCGACTCCTGTACGAACTGCAGGCGCTTGGTCAATGGGTAGGTCAATGGGCAACTAAGACAACAAAGATTACTGAATAAATCATGGTTTGGCTATGTTGAACGCTTGTGATTTCGGTGAATCTTGAGTGAAGAATGATGGAAGCCTTGCAAGTGTCCAATGAAAAATCCACACCAGTGCAAAAAGAAGCCTAGCCTATTCATGATTAATTGAATAAATCTTAGCCTGCTCTCCAATTATCCAACATGGCAATGACAAGTCACTTGTATTTCTATGGTTTTCACTGTCAAGTCACTGTCACGCCTGATTGCTAGAGGGTATCAAGGTTGCAAAGGTCCCGGCCCATGGATGTTGACTGAAGCATGTCAAAGCTGCATTGAGAGCCAGATTGGTAAAGGGGTTGACCCTCCAAGCGAAAGAACCATAGAGGGTGGGACCCTTCCGTTTTCTATTGGGAGCTCTGGGAATGACCAAAAAACATCCGGGGCGAAATTTTTGAGTGAAACTTATTGAGGGGTTCATGAATCAAAGGACGTTAGATACCACAGGGGTTGGGCTCCGCAGCAATTGCATTGATAACAAATTCAGGTGGGAACTGCGGGTGGTGGGCAGCAACAGTTTACCATGAGACCTTTTTTCCGGGGAACTATATTTGTGGATGCGTTTGAAACTTGTTCCAACTACTTACAACAACGGAAACTGGTCTAAAAGAGATACGGGGAAAGCCCTGAAAGCTGTGATGGAACCCAAAGATTCCTACTTGCCCTATACAAATGATCGTGCAAACCCATGTTTTGGGAGTTCATGTTCGTTGTTCATGTTAGTTTACAGCGGCTTTTGAGGATTCCCGGACCCGCAGCTGCCGCAGCCCCACAGGTCAGTTCTGGTTTAACAAAAGGTTGTTTGATGGAAAACTGTAAGACCACCAGGCTCACAGATTGAGGTCGTTGTTATGTTCGATCATTGAAACTGCATGAAACCTGCACCCAAACTGGTGGGCTAGCCGTACTGCACGATGCATATATATATATATACATACATACACATATGCGTGTGTACATCTAATATTATATATATATACACATACACATCATACATCTATGTATGATACATCTATGTATGATACATCTATACATACATCATCATACATCTATACATGTACTTGTCATGCATGTACCCATGTTTTTATATATGTGTACACACATGTATATACATGTATCTATGCATTTACAGATATATTTCTTTGTACACATGTGGTTCTTATTTACAGATATACTTGGTCCGTGGCCGCAGGCATTGCAGGGACATGTGGACAAAAAGAATTCGGAGCTGATGGCGTTGAACCAGGAGAACAATGAGCAGGCGAAGTTGGGACAGCGGGACTTGGTGCCTAAAACATGGCAATGGTGATTTAATGGTGATTTAATGGTGATTTACTGTAATGGGATTCAATGGGATTTAATGGAATTGACCCGGTCATCAGCTCCATGACTTGCTGGAAACTAGCGCAAACATCGTTGGAACATACCAGCCTTTCAACCTGGATTGATGAGCAACGTTTGCAAGGTTTCAGAGGGATTTAGCAGCACAGATTTGGGGTTTCCATAAATGAGGTACCCAATCACTGGATGGTTTGGGAAAATCCTGCTAAAATGGATGATCTGGATGTACCCCTACGTTAGGAAACCTATTTTCAGCAATGTGTTTAGCAATAACTGACTCAACCAAAGTAGATTCGTATTTCGTGTCGATATTGTTCATCCGTGAGAATGAGATGGGTGGCGCAACCACAAACAAGCAGTTTGCATTCAGCATCCTTCAATGCATTGGATACGGTTCAAAAATTCTGACCCAGCAAGCAATAGGTTTTGGTCAATGCATACTATTTCATCATCCATGTTCTTGGCAAAAAATGATCCATACCCATCTTATTTCAACCCATGACAAGAGCTGAGGCTTCCAAGTGGGATGTCCATCTCAGTTACAGTAGTAACCGCGTTCGACTTGTGGGATGTATGATATATCCCAGCTATCCCCAGCCATGGGTTGCTAAAGGTATACTGGTTGGTGGTTTGGAACACTTGGATTATTTTTCCATATATTGGAAATAGTGATCCCAATTGACTAATATGTTTCAGAGGGGTTGAAACCACCAGCCAGTATAAATCAATCATAGATTGGGATGATTGGGATGCCCAAGGTATTCCATACTGTTCCGGTCCCAATCCCCAGGCTTTGTTGGCGCTCAACACGGGTCGTGCAAAGCTTCAGGAGGTGTGGAGTTCCGGAGTTCCGATGTTTAGCCTGCGGTAACATGGCAATTGGAAATCCACTATAAATGGAGGTTTCAACTAAAAATGGGAGATTTTCCATTGCCACATGTGATTACCGGAGGGTAAATGGGGGTCTATATTGGTGCGGTGTTTCATGGTGATATTTCATCAGGTATATTAATGATATTATGATATGTGGGGTCCACAAATGGGTCAGTGAATTCCCCTATATTCCCCCTGTATCATTGGGGGGAACTGATTTCATGTACAGGATTTGGAGGGAGCCTATGTTGTTCGTGATGACTGAAGTAGTGGGTTTGTACGGGGTTAGGAACTCCGACTTACTGCTTTGATGATTCCAATTGATGCATATATGGTAGATGTATAATATATTCATATGCTTAAAACTATGGTTCAATCAATGACACTCCGACCAGCCCAAAGCGTCCAGGAGAGCGATGCCCTGAAAGAGGAGATGCTGGCTGTTGCTGAGGTGTCGCGCCTGAGAAGATCACATATTTAGTTCCATGATTCATTTAGGGTAACAGGGGTAGCAGGGAGACCCTATTGTTATCTATAATATTCTATAATGTCGATGTTTTTTTCCACAGCTACGTTGAATTCACAGAGGGAGCGCAGAAAATTATAGGTGTATCAATCACAGAATTGGATGACGGGAAACCCCTATATTTGATGGTAAAAACTATGGTTTCCTGTAGATTTTCCCTTAAACCAATCCATTGTATCAAATTGATGTACGAAAGCGGGGGCGGATGGTACTTCCTGAGGCCATCCCCAAGGCAGCGCGGAAGCAGCAGCAAGTCATGCAGGAGGCTCCGGTGTCATTGGTAAAAATTGTGCTGGTCTTTTGGGGATCCCGGACATTGCTTCCCCATGGAATCCCAAGGGTAAGCTCGGAAATGAACCCGAATCCATCCGAATCCTAGGAGGCGTTGGTCGGGAATCACCCAGGAACCATGACATATATATATATGTATATATGTATATATATATATATACATATGACATAACCATTGAGGAAAACTTGAGAAGAACCCTGTTTCCACAGAAGAAACTACGTCACAACAGCGATTTGGATCGGATCGGATCATCTCCACGGAGCCACGGCAGCTTTTGGTTTTTCGAATACTTCTAGCATAAGAAGCCACATTAATGTATGCTATTTTATGGTATCAAATATTAGGATCTGAAGGAGGAATGTTTATATAATCAACATCCAATTTGTTGGTTTTGTTGGTACCTGCTGACTTGACTCCCTATGTCAATTGGGTGCCCCTTCTGTTCATATCAACATACAATTCATATGGGAAAATCACTGGTTTTGACCCGTTCCCGTTTGATGTTTACAGTCCCAAACAATCCCTAAGACATTGTTGATTTGAATTCCTAATTGTTTTTGTTGGTGTGGTTTTGTCTGAAAATGGGATACGTACCCCATTGACGACCCCAATCCCAGCATACGTATCATATTGCTGTTCATCTATCTCTGGAAATATCGCGTAGAATGATCACTGTTTTTTCCCAATCCCCATTCCTAAGTCCCATGCTATATATATATATGGATAGATTATAACGACCTCACTGCGACCTCACTGGAATGATGGTTACAGTAAATCATCAGTGCAGTACTTTAATTTAACGCCATTTATAGAGAATGTTCCCCGCTGTAAAACCACTTACAGAGGATTTTTGATTGCCATGCTTGATTACCAGAGGTTACCCATCAATGGCCATCATGGCATGATTAACCCATTATTGACTATGATAACTCATGTTAACCACTATTACCGTCTATTACTGTACCCACTATTAATCCATACTGAATCCTAATGATTGGTAAATTATTAAGGGGCTCCGCCCCCTGCCGCCGACCCCTAGGCTTGCATTGCACCTCCGCATGGCTCCCACCATCGGAGTTTCCGCTCTGGGCGCAGGCGCCACAGGGGCTGATTCGGAGCAACGCAATTGGGAGAAAAAGAATATCCTACCTATAGGGAATGAAATGTTACAATGGATGTGATATACAGCAATGTGATCACCTGATTAACCACATGATAATAACGAACTACGATGTGGTTTGGATTCCATATCGTAGGGATCCTTCATGATGTGGACGCTCTAGGAGTTAGCAGTTGTCATTGATGTGCATTGTAGACAATGTGAGACCAAGATTTAAGAAATTTGAGTTTAGTAACGGGAGGTACCCAGTGCAAGAGGAATCTATAGATCAGATTTTTTTGGGGGGACACCCCTTCAGTAATGAAGGAAGTGTACTCAGGAATCCCACAATGATTGCTTTATAAATAACTATATATATACACATACATACATATATATAAGTGTATATTTGCAAAATTCACACACTTACATGCAGAGATATGCATAAGATGGATTTATATATGTGCATTTCTACGTGTATATATATATATATATGCAGTCATCACCTGATGTACATATTGTAGACTATACGCATTTGCATCATATTATATTTAACCATGCGCATACATATAGAGATACATGAGTCTGTGCCAGGTCAGTGGCGAGAGTCTTCGTTCCCCTTGCAAGGCGGCGAGGTGACCTTCTTGAATGGGGGATGTAATGTAATCTCTTCTTGAATCTGCAGTGGGGGCTGCAATGTCTTCTTGAATGGGGGATGAGAACTTTTCTTGAATGCAGCAATAACAATCTTATCGTCTGCAATGGGGGATGCAATTTCTTAATGAATGGGGGATGAGAACTTTTCTTGAATGCACACGATAAGATTTTATCGTCTGCAATGGGGGATGCAATTTCTTCTTGATTGGGGGATGAGAGCTTTTCTTGAATGCAGACGATAGGAATCTTATCGTCTGCAATGGGGGATGCAATTTCTTCTTGAAAGGGGGATGAGAACTCTTCTTGAATGCAGACGATAAGAATCTTATCGTCTGCAAGGGGGGATGCAATTTCTTCTTGAATGGGGGATGAGAACTTTTCTTGAATGCACACGATAAGATTTTATCGTCTGTATTGGGGGATGAAATTTCTTCTTGAATGGGGGATGAGAACTTTTCTTGAATGCAGACGATAAGAATCGTATCGTTTGCAATGGGGCATGGAAATTCCTCTTGAATGAGGGATGTAATCTCTTCTCGAATTTGCAATAGCTGTATGATATGACTTTACATTTCGTGAGGATTCGTGACATATGTATATGTATATATAAATATATTTATATATATACATACATACATACATGCATGCATACATACATACATACATACATACATATGTATGTACGTACATACATACATACATATATATATATATATAAGTGTATATTTGCAAAATTCGCACACTTACATGCAGAGATATGCATGAGATGGATTTATATATGTGCATGTCTACGTGTATATATATATATATATATATTTGCAGTTATCACCTCATGTACATATTGTAGACTATACGCATATGCATCATATTATGTTTAACCATGCGCATACATATAGAGATACATGAGTCTGTGCCAGGTCAGTGGCGAAAGTCTTCGTTCCCCTTGCAAGGCGGCGAGGTGACCTTCTTGAATGGGGGATGTAATGTAATCTCTTCTTGAATCTGCAGTGGGGGCTGCAATGTCTTCTTGAATGGGGGATGAGAACTTTTCTTGAACGCAGACGATAAGAATCTTATCGTCTGCAATGGGGGATGCAATGTCTTCTTGAATGGGGGATGAGAACTTTCTTGAACGCAGACGCAGACGATAAGAATCTTATCGCCTGCAATGGGGGATGCAATTTCTTCTTGAGTGGGGGAGGAGAACTTTTCTTGAATGCAGACGATACGAATCTTATCGTCTGCAATGGGGGATGTAATCTTTTCTTGAAAGCAGACGATAAGAATCCTATCGTCTGCAAGGGGGGATGTAATCTTTTCTGAACGCAGCAATAAGAATCTTATCGTCTGCAATGGGGGATGCGATTTCTTCTTGAATGGGGGATGAGAACTTTTCTTGAATGCACACGATAAGATTTTATCGTCTGCAATGGGGGATGCAATGTCTTCTTGAATGGGGGATGAGAACTTTCTTGAACGCAGACGCAGACGATAAGAATCTTATCGCCTGCAATGGGGGATGCAATTTCTTCTTGAGTGGGGAAGGAGAACTTTTCTTGAATGCAGACGATACGAATCTTATCGTCTGCACTGGGGGATGTAATCTTTTCTTGAAAGCAGACGATAAGAATCCTATCGTCTGCAAGGGGGGATGTAATCTTTTCTGAACGCAGCAATAAGAATCTTATCGTCTGCAATGGGGGATGCGATTTCTTCTTGAATGGGGGATGAGAACTTTTCTTGAATGCACACGATAAGATTTTATCGTCTGCAATGGGGGATGCAATTTCTTCTTGAATGGGGGATGAGAACTTTTCTTGAATGCAGACGATAAGAATCGTATCGTCTGCAATGGGGGATGCGATTTCTTCTTGAATGGGGGATGAGAACTCTTCTTGAATGCACACGGTAAGATTTTATCGTCTGCAATGGGGGATGCAATGTCTTCTTGAATGGGGGATGAGAACTTTTCTTGAATGCAGACGATAAGAATCGCATCGTTTGCAATGGGGCATGCAATTTCTTCTTGAATGGGGGATGAGAACTCTTCTTGAATGACACACTTACATGCATAGAGATACATGAGTCTGTGCCAGGTCAGTGGCGAAAGTCTTCGTTCTCCTTGCAAGGCGGCGAGGTGATCTTCTTGAATGGGGGATGTATAATCTCTTCTTGAATCTGAATGGGGGACGCAATGTCTTCTTGAATGGGGAATGAGAACTTTTCTTTAACGCAGACGATAAGAATCTTATCGTCTGCAATGGGGTATCGTCTGCAATGGGGGATGTCAATTCTTCTTGAATGAGGGATGTAATCTCTTCTTGAATCTGCGATGAAGGATGCAATTTCTTCTTGAATGGGGGATGAGAACTTTTCTTGGATGCAGACAATCAGAATCTTATCGTCTGCAATGGGGGATGTAATCTTTTCTTGAAAGCAGACGATAAGAATCCTATCGTTTGCAATGGGGGATGTAATCTTGTCTTTAATGCAGACGATAAGATTCTTTTGGTCTGCAAGGGCAGGATGTAATCTCTTCTTGAATGGGGGATGTAATCTTTCTGAACCGACTAGAAACTAGCTCCAAACCTTGACTTTACCTGCGTTTCTGCACTGCCGCTGGCTTTCGTTCTGCGCAGCTCCGGTCCAAGCTGGAGTCCAAGGACCGTGTCGCAGGGCTAAAACACCATGGCAGTGAAGGACGGATTGGGCCCGCGGCCCGTAGCCCAGACTGCCAAACGGTACTTTCTGAACCGACTAGAAACTAGCTCCAAACCTTGACTTTACCTGCGTTCCTGCACTGCCAACTGCCAACTTGCCTGCGCTGTCTGACAGCTGGCTTTCGTCCGGCGCGGCTCCGGTCAAGGGACCCCCTCGCAGGGCTCAAACACCATGGCCTGCGTCGTCTGTCCAAAGTTCTCTCTTCGCCCCTTCTTGCATCTTGTTGCTAGTAAGGCCTCCTCTGACGCGCTCCCCCTGCTGGCGGCAGGGGTCGGCGGATTTCATATTATCCCATATCATCCTGTATCATCTCTAATATGATCTAATGTTCTCCCAGTCTCTCCCCATTGTAGAACGATTTCGGCTGGTTAAATCACCATCATTAATCACAATAAACCATTACTAACAACTATGAGATAGTATTTACATGTATTTACTACTCTCACTATATATTGGACACTATAAATCCTTATTGACTATTAACCACTAAATTTTCCCCGGAGATATCCCCCATTGATGGTGACCCGGAGCAGGCCCAGAGAGCGCAACGAGGATTGCAGGAAGCACAGGACCTTTGGCATGCGCAGGCCATGCGTCACGTGTCATGTCTTTGGAGGAATCCTGGTGGGGATAGTTTGTTCTGTCACTGTCTACTGAATAATTAGTACAAACTGATTAATTAATATACATATATTCATTAGTAGTTTATTTATATATATATATATACAATATAATTATAAACACGGTTGAACTGTGTTCAAGACCCCTGGTGGTTATTCCATTCCCAACACCAGTGCTTGTTTGGGTTTCAATCTATGGGTCTAGGAGTGGTGTGTCATTTGCCAAGCCCTTCTGCTGTTGGGCCAAACCAAGTTAATCCTATGATAACACTTTGATCATCTAACTGGCAGATTGCAGCCCTGAAACTCTGGAAAGGATTACCAATGCCAGATTTTGAAACGGACCCATGTGTTCATTGATTAAGTTACTATTTGTCATAGTTATTATCGTTTCTTTTTGATGAATGCCCGAGTATTGATTGTGAAATGATGGTTCAAAACATGTTGAAGCCCATGTTTGATGGTGCAACGCAACCCGAACGGTTCGATGGTTCAACCCGGCGCAACCCAGGTGAACATCACCCGCAACGCTCTCAAAGTGGAAGAGAACGAGCTGGCCAAGCTGTCGGGATGTGTGGGATCCTGGGGCTGGGTAGGCAGGGAAGGGCTGGCAGGATTTGTGTCAGAATGGAGGAATTAGATGGATCTAGATGGAACTAGATGAAATTAGATGGAATTAGATGGAACTAGATGGAACTAGATGGAATTAGATGGAACTAGATGGAATTAGATGGAATTAGATGGAACTAGATGGAATTAGATGGAATTAGATGGAACTAGATGGAATTAGATGGAACTAGATGGAACTAGATGGAACTAGATGGAATTAGATGGAACTAGATGGAATTAGATGGAATTAGATGGAACTAGATGGAATTAGATGGAATTAGATGGAACTAGATGGAATTAGATGGAACTAGATGGAACTAGATGGAACTAGATGGAATTAGATGGAACTAGATGGAATTAGATGGAATTAGATGGAACTAGATGGAATTAGATGGAATTAGATGGAACTAGATGGAACTAGATGGAATTAGATGGAACTAGATGGAATTAGATGGAACT